CCCCAAAACCCCAAAACCCCAAAACCCCAAAACCCCGTGAATATATAGTTTAAGCTATTAAAGAGTTATGTAAACAAAAATAAACTTTGAAAATATTAATAAAAGTGGATTTTCCAAGCTAAGAAGTAATAATGCAATATATATTATCTATTTTTAGGAAAATTATCAATCTCTTATATTATCATCATTCGTATCTTTATCAATATCTTCATTTTCAAATTCATCATCGTTAAAGCTTAGCAAATCTGAAAGATCACTTGTGTCCTCAGGATGACGCTACTTTTACTTTTACTTCTGTTTCAGATTTTCTATTCCATTCTGAAGATAGTATCTCTAGTAACTCTTTTCAGCCTCTTTTTTAGTCTACTTATGTCTGATGTATTCATCAAGAATCCAAAATTATAGCGAGTTAAATCCAACTGGCACTATAACCATAACAACCAGCAGTAATAGTCTTGGGTATTGCTAAATAGGATAGAGCGCCAACACACCCAAATATAATAGTTGCCCTTAAAATAAAAGTATGATGAATATGATGCATATTTTGCTCTAAATTCAAAAGTTAAGAGAGATATAAATGCTCACAATAGATATTATGATCAACCAGTGTATTAGTTAAATAGTCCACAGCTTTGTAGCCTACCTACTTTTGAACTACTCCAATTCTTTTTCGCTGATTTCATCTACAATTTCATAGCTTTTTTCGCTATAAGTATTAAAATCATCACTATTTTTATCTATCTCTTCAATAACCTCATAAGTTCCTGATCTAATTTCATAGCCATAGCAATCTTTCAACAGTTTTGCACTTAGCTTTAGGAATAAGTAAGAGAATAAGGCGATTCCAATAATGTCCACTGAGAAGTTAATGAAGTACCATTAGCACTAAAGATTGTCTCCGCTTGATAAGAGCTATGCAACAACTATATTGTAGATATGCAATAATCCCGATGAGAAGATTTGCTTTGATGTATCCATAAAGAATATTTTCCAGGACCTCTTTGGTCTCTCAAGATTCCTCTTGACTATACATATTTTTAAAGTGTAATAACTTACTCAACAAAGTTGAAAAAGAAAGAATAAATAAAAAAGCTTGAAGTATGATCCCCAGAGATCCTAGCAAATCACAAGACTTCTCAGACCCCTATTTGAAGTAATTCCATATATCCTAGAAGTTTATGAGCTCTGAAGAGTTCGAACTGCTATTGCTCAGTTATTAAAGCAATGCGATATGCCGTGCCTGATGAGATTATGAAAACTAGTGATAAAATTTCGGGTCCATTAATATTAATTAAAATATTAGTTTGAAAGTTATATTATTTTAAGTTAATTATGCAGTTAAATATGAACGTAAAATATCAAACAGGCATGCTATAAGATGATCAGAACAAATCGATAGCAAAATATACTATTGGAAAATAGCTGTAATTATCAAGGACATAAACATAGGCATCTTCTATAAGCATTTAATCACAGAAATAAGAGCTTTAATTAGACAACAAAGAAAAGCAAGGCTCGAAATTAGATAACTTCTTATAGAAATCATCTCTTTTGAAAATAAACAATCCATAATTAAGCTCAGCTACATTGCTCAGCCTCCAAACTAAGTCAATAATGAATTTGACTTAGAATCCATCTAAGCTAAAACAAATTTCTAAGAGTAGTATCAGCAATTAGCAACAATCTATCTCTACTCACAGTTATATGAATCCATTTCTAACTGCATATTAATCAGCTAAGCTGAGTCATGATAATAGAAATGGGAATAACAATGACTATAATAGTGTAAAATTTGCTTCTGCAAGATAACTTGATAATCATTCAAATGCTATACTAATTGACTCTGATGATAATTAGAGAAGTTTTATGGATGAATTTTATGAGTAGCCTCTTCAAATGTCTCGTCAGGATAACCGCTAAGCTAGTGCTCAAAGTTTGAAGCATTTATAGAATTAAATAGATGAGGAATAATCAGGTATAGATGAGAGCATAAACACCTAGACTCTTAAAGTGATGTTTGAATAAGACTCATAGGACTCGTCATAGATTTTATCATGCAATAACTCTACCTTCTTATAGTAAGAATAATAATATATCTTAAATACTTTTATTAAAGGTAAAAGGGTGTATATGAAAATGGATCATTTTAAGCACTAGATTAAAAAGATCGTATAGACTAGGTAAAAATCGAAATTATAAAGAACAAAAAAATAAAGAAAAATCCTTAAGTAGAGAGTAGTAAGATTAGCTAAAAGGATAGTTAAAGGAAAAGTAGAAATAACTCATCTGACTGAAGATTAGTATAAACATAGAATTATATCAATCATTCTGAAGAAGAGATCAGTAAGAATGAAAATCTGCCCTTACAAAAAAGCATCAATAAACTCTTACTATAACCGTAGTAAACTTAATAATAAAACCAAGTTCCTCAACTTATAAACCTGCTAGAATATCTTCGATAGAAGTGTGGTTAGTACGGTATTCAATTAAAGAATAGTGAATCAGGAATGCTTCAAAAGAATGGATAAAATATAAAGGATTTAGAGTTTAAGTTTTATGAGATTGTGGATTAGATTTATACTTCCTATAGAAACTTATAGCACTAAAGTTTTAAATCTCATGCAGAGTTAGAAATAATGAAGTAAAGATTTCAGAATCTGTAAAACACCAACTAAATCCTGCTAGATGGTAATTAAAATACTCCTTATTACCTATTTATTTTTAGAGATAAATTAGTTAAAAAATGAAAGAGAGAAATAATCCTTCAGATAGGAGGAGGCTAAAATGAGGGCTTCCTAATCTGAGAGATACTTATCACCTACAGTTACTTAGAGGACATTAGGATTCGATAGATATTCTGAATAATATCAGTCAAACTCTAACTTAATTACGAGACATTAATCTTAGCCCAGGCTGCTATCCCCTTCATCATCTGCTCTTAGAATTAATCAAGATCCCTCTAAAATTCTTAATGATGTAAATTTTCAAACTTATCCACATTAATTTTAGATAAACAACTTACTGAATAGAAATGGATAGAACATCGCAACTCTTCCTTAGAAAGTAGCTGATTTAATTACAGATTGTGAAAGACTAAAATTAAAGTGCATGCAAGAATAATCTCAATGGAATCTGGAGAGACAATCAAAGGAGTACAGCAACTTCAAGCAAACGCTCATGGCTATATTAAAGCTTGATAAAACTTAAAAACTGGACCACAATCCCATACTTAGGAATGTTGAAGCCTTGAAGATTGATAATGAAAGACTGTACTTGCTGCTCTCTCAGATAAACTACTACCTTGGCTTGTAAAATGATGTGAGTGACGAGAAGCTACTAATGACTATAAAGAAGATTTGCTAAAGCAACAGCATTAGTAGCAATAATGATAAAAATAAACTAAACACTGATAGGTCTTCCTCATCCTCTACAAAGAGTAATAGTGCCTATAACACTAAAAATTTGAATAAATCTAATCTTAGCTAACTATCTATGAACAGGAATCACTAGTCATAGCTTTTCATGAGACCATGAAGAGCTCATATATAAGAATAATTAATGTACTTAATCAGTTTCTCATGAATTTTTTTATACTCGGGGTTTTGGGGTTTTGGGGTTTTGGGG